AAAAAAAAGAAATGAAGGAAACAAACGGACTACTGGATCTGTCTCTGGGTCCTAGTTCACAGCTGTCTATTACAAAGGATTAAGGTTTAGATTGCACCCACTGCAAAGCTCAACTCCTCAGAGAACTCAGGAGAGCTTGCAGTTCATTTCCAATAGCTTCGCTTTTTATTACCTGAAAGAGGTTAACATCTACTGCAAACCTGACAATTTTCTTTGCCTTCCTTTTTCCAGAGCCCTGACAAAAACATCAGCTAAAGGAAATCTCAGTATCTCTTCTTGGGTGACCAACCTTTTTGCAATCCTGCTTCCACCATGAGAAGTGCCTGTTGGCCCCTACCTTCTGTTTTCTGCGTGTTGACACAGACATAGGACTGGTGAAGATTCTGACCAGTCAGTACCACGCTTACTTCTGTGTCCTTCAAACTTCAAATAAAAACCACTGGGCTTCAGCCATTTATCTATATTTGCTTTATCAACAATAAATTCCAACTAATTTGGTGATTTAAGTATATATAATTTTGCAGTCGTATCTAAAATATCCTGTGTATTTACTTTTGGATTTATTGTTTGCATTCCAAGACAGCTTGGGACTGAGAATTTTCACATGGTCTTAGTAAAGACCAATACAAATTATTTACTCTTTTCTGTTTCTGTCCTTTTCATTGAATACCATTCCTTTAACCGCGATCATTTTTCCTTGATTTTTAAAACACATTTACTGTCTTTTGAGTATCACACAAATAATCTTAGAATATTTGGAAGTTTCCAAATTATACCTGACCATCAAGTGTCCCTGTTCTCTCAACTAGACAAGTTGTACTGGTTTTTGAAAAAGGACCTTTTCTCTATAATAGCCATTTTTTTACTTTCTCAGTAAATCTTTCAGGTTTGTTTGATTTTTTATAACCAAGCATATAATCATTTTTGGTCCTATCACATATTATTTTGGGTTTCCAATAAGATAATTTTAAGTCCCTATGATTTTCATGTATTACTTAGTATAATAACTATTCCATTCAGTATTTTACATACTACTTCCATTTTATTCTAGCCCTATGGCACCATAAAGGGTAGATTTCTTTGAATTTTCTTCCTGTACCAGAACACTGAATATATCATGCTCTAATTGTTTTATTTACTATTATATAAGATTTTACGTTAAAGGAACACATTTCCTATCTTCAAGTCAATTACATGTAATATGATATTGACCTTTATATTGCTGGATAAATACTAAGAAGTTGTAAGTAAAATGTGTATTTGTTTATGAAGTCATAGTAGAAACCCCACCAGTATTACAACTCCTGAGCTGTATTTTCACGAAAAAGGTTGGAATTCCCAACAATTCACATGAATCAAGTTGCAAGATTTTAATCCTCATTTCAAAAAGCATACAATACTCAAGAAATATTTTTCCAATAGATTATAAGTCCATATAGCCGCTGTCTACTCACTAGTTAGTAACATTGCTGATAGTCTTTATTAAAGGGAGTGATTTATCTTGCCTAAGTCATAGAAATAAATCATTAAAAGTTTTATGTTACCTAAGTTAGAGATTTAGCAGTGCTCCAAACCAAAGAATTGCTATAACAAGCCACATTTAACTAAACAAAAAGAATCATTATTACGTACCTGACAAATAGCAAATCCAACACCATCTGCAGAAATATTAACTGTAGTTGGCTGTACCACAGCAAGCTGAAACAAGTTGGACAAAAAGCAAATAAGGCTAATTTTCCATATCTAGCTCCCTTCAACCGGCACAAGAGATCAGTGTTATCCCTCATCAGGAGCAAGTGATCTGTGGAAAGCTCTAAGAACTTTACACGGCCTCACATGTCAAAAGCTATGGGTCAACCAGGCCAGAGAAGTGGATGTGGAGGAAGTGCACACTCTCCACACACCCTCGCCTCTGCCTGCCTGTGGGTGGGCACACAAGTGCTGCCAACAGGTCTGCCGTTCTGTCGAGGCTGAAGGATGAAAGAAAGAAAGGTCACCTCCCTTCTCCAGCCTCCCTTGGTGGCGCCTAATCTTCCGGCCTTCCTGAGAACACAGTGGCACACCATCACTGACTACGGCTAACACCATGCCTTCTTCTTCCTTTGCCACCAGTCCTCGTCCTCAGTTTCCAGGCTTAAAGCTTTCACTTTCATCCATTACCCTCAACTTCCCACAAGGCTAACCAAGGGAATAAAGTTAGTGTCTAGCGTAGTCCTTTATTCCCTTTTAAAGTAAGAATTCTACTACCAGTTCTATCAATTCTCCTAAGAGGACATGTGGTACAGCTGAAAAGAACATGGTCTTCAAAATCCTGGGTCAAATTTGAGCTCTACTGTTATAGAAACGTGATCTTGAGCAAGTTACTTCATCTCCCTCAGCCTCAGTCTCATCCATGTGTACAACAGGGATAAAAGTACTTCCTTCTCACTGTTGGTTTGAGAAGCAAATACAACAGCACATGTGAAGAAATCTGGCACAGTGCCTGCAAAGAACAGGAACTCAGCCGGTTGGTGTTCATTCCTTTCCCCATATGACAGTGCCCATGTCTTCTCCTTTTCCAAAGTTTCCGTCCCTTCCTCCCTTCCCCAGCTCAACAAATTCAACCAAAGGAGGGCACTCCCTCCTCCCAGTCTCTCCACAGGGCTTCAGGAACAAGTCCTTGTTAAAGTCAATTGAATGGAAATAAAGCAATATTCCAGCACAAGGAATCACCTACACAGAATTTTAAATAACCACCCCCTCGTCCACACCTCTGCCGTCTGGAGGAGAAAGCGGTTCTGTGTGTCAACAAGAAACTTTACAGGACTCGGTGAACCGGGCCCCATCACGGTCACTTGGATATTTGTCCTTTCTGTGTTCATTAGAGCTGAAAATTCAGACAGGGCCTTCAAGGCCACAATGGTGTCCTGTTGAGGAAAGAAAAACATTTGCGCATATAAGTATATATCAAGGTCTCCAAAGAGCACATTTAGTAATGGTTAGGACACTCGCTACCCGCTCATCTGCCTTCCTCGCAAGTGGAGCTCTCCTTTATCTGTCTGTGCATCTCCTTGACCGGGAGTGCAGGAGAGACTCAGAAAACATTTGTTATGGAACTGAGCATCTACTCTATCAGCTACCACTGATGAAAAATTGCTAATATAGACAGGGAACTAATTTATTCCATATAAATATCAGATATGGTGTTTATAATCAATGATGAGAAAAATTAAAATTAGTAACAAATTTTTCACTTATGTTACTAAACTTTTAAACTGCCAAGTAATTTTATGAAGTCATGAAAAAAACAGCCACATACTTTCTAAAATATATATATATATGTATATAGTTAAAAAAATTAAAAACTATCATTGCTCACCTGGGTAGATGCAAAACCACCCAAGCTGTTTCTCTGCCTGCTTAGCCACCTCATCACTGGGACTCCCGCGGAGACCTGACGCTGCCGGAAGTGCGAAAGCAGCACGTAGGCAGCGACTTCCACATCCAGGGAGCGTGGCTGCCAGGACTCAGAGAGCCCGGACACTGAGGACACCCAGAACTGCATGCCTCCTGCAAAAAAAAAAAAAAGTGAGAACACTCTGAGCAATTGCAGAAAAAGCACATTTTATACCAGTAAATAGTCCCACATTGGTCCAAGTTCTACTTGACTAGCATATAAATATATATATTTCTAAATGTGTATATATTTATGCCAGGCAAATATATGCATATTCACACACACACAGACATGTACTTATTTGTCACTTTTGAAACTATTAAAACATCATTTTTCATCCTTTTCCTCTTGCTTATATTTGAAGACTTTTTGATGAAAATATTTTCCCAAGAAAAATTCCATATGTTTGGATCAAGACTAAACAGCTATAAATAAAAGAAAAAAATGTACTATATTCCAGAAGATAATATACTTAACTTTTCTGACCAGACCATCCCAAAAATATTTTAGGACAAGTTGGAAACAACTCTGGTCTGGGAACCTGCCATTAACCAGCCCTAATGTTCTGGGAAACCTGTCCTTTTCTCATTATCTGAAAGTTGGTGTTATAAGTTCAAAATTCAAGTCCCCCAGAAAAAATGAGGGACCCTGGCCAACTTGATAATCTTCCTAGAGATATTCCTGCTGGGGCCCCTCCACCTCTCCCAAATATTACTACTTAGATGATGACTGCACTTGGGTGGAGTGTGAAATAACTACCACTGAGCCAAACAGAGAAGAAGAAACGTCAAGGACTTCGGCCTCTGTGCACTAGTCTTCAGGTCCCCAGCACTGCACAGGTAATCAGGATGCAATCTAAGTTACTGCTACTAAGAATATTTTTACGGTCTCAGAAGTTCCTACACACTTCCTACAGTTATCCCTTCTTGAATTAACAGAGCTCAGAATCATTGGATATTACCTAAAGTTATTTCTGCCCACCCATCCCCATCCCTCTCTCGCTCTCACATACACACACACACACACACACCCACCCCTGGATCCCTGACTGTAGAGGCCATTTGGGAAGTAACAACACCTGTGATTTGGTCCTGCTGTAGCCCGTAAGCAGTCCTCATTCAAAAAAAAAAAAACCAAAATCATACATACAACTCACTAAGAGCATTTTTTGGCATTTGCATTTCTACTAATTAGCATTTCAGTCCACATTTTTGAACACTTGCTATATGGCAGGCACTCCACATTGTCTCATTCTAGCCTCACAACAACACTAAAATAAGTATCATTCCCATTTTACAGGAAGGGAAATGGAGGCTCATAAAGGCAAGTAGCAGAATCAGAATTTAAACCCAAGTCTCTCCACAACCCAACGCCGTAACGACCACTCAAGGCCACCAAACCAGAAACGGTGTCAGAGAACTCAAAGGGCAACTGACAGAGGGCAGAGCACATCTGAAAGGAGACACAAGCCCTGGAGTTCTCTAGAAAACTCTGGGAGAGAGTGGAAGCAGCACAGCCACGGCAGACCCGTCTTGATCTCATCTGCGTTTCATGTTGCATCCCACTCACAAGATGTGAATGCAATCAACTTCATATCTGGCTTACAAAATTTCCTCACATAATTTATATATTTCATAATGCATGACATTAAACAATCCCAAACGGATCCCATGCATCACCTTCTTGTTCTGCTCTCCAGGTCAGCATATCCAAAGCTTCCTTGGCTTTGGGGCTCCCCACGAACGACAGTGCATAAGTAATAAGGGCTAGAGTGTAATTGTCTGAAATTCCTCTGTTGAATTCAGACTCCAGAAAGTTGACAGACTCTTGCACATCAATATTAGGCTTGAAAGAAAAAATATATAGTTTACGATTCAAAACAACCCATTACCACATATTTAAATGAAAAGTATTTTCAAACATTTAATCAAAAAATAATTTCAGTGTCTATTAAGCACCTGACTTTGTCCTAGGCAATGGGAATCAATGATGATCATTCACATTTGAAGATCTGCTGCGCATTTTGAAAATAACATTGCTTTCCAGTTTTTATAAATAAATAGGCACTATTCCTTAGAAGGAATAAGAAAAAAGTAGAACTTCTGCCAGCATTTCTCACACTGAATATCATGAACTCAGATGAGAGCATAAAATACAGCTTGAGAAAGACATTTCTAATATTTGATCTCAGATACTGAAGCTCTAAATTCAAGTGCAAGTTTATCTTCTACATCCCTAGTATTGCGCTAGGAAACGAGTAACAGCTTAACACAGACAACAGCTGTTCTTTTGATCATGTGAAATGCAGTCAGCATTAAGCAGTAAAGGCGTCAATGACTGAGATGGCTGTGGAGCAAAATGAAGCTTATTACCAGAACTTTCCATGCACACTCACTTTCATCCAGACATCCATGCCCATTTAACATGCTTTTTAGAGTGTGGTGTACTCTGCACTAAATAAGCAGACATTGTAATTGGTCCATGATATTTTTGAAATAAAAAAATACTTCACAATCTAAATTTGCTAGAACGCATTCCCAAATTCTGAAGAATTTTCCATCTCCTAAGAAATTAACCTTCCCAAGGATAAAATATATATATTGACTTATCTTACCAATTGCAAGAACAACCACATTTATACTAGAAGGCGTCTTTGGCATTCTCTCAGTTACTCTGAAAGAGTGGGTTAATATTTTCATTCTCAGATTTTGGAATGTGGCCACAAATGCAAAGCAAAAGGGTGCCTGAATTCAGACTCCAAATGGGGACAGAACTGCAAAACCCTTCACGTGTCCAGACACACCCAACCCATCGAGAGCTGCCTTCCTTGCAGTCTCCCGCCCATCATGTATTAAATTAAAGACTGCATACCTGATACTTTTTATATCCCAGGAGAGAGGTCACAACATAAGCTGTAAGTGTCACTGCACTTCTACTGCCGCCTTGAAGCTCTCTATGGATCACTCTTCCTGGCTCCCAAAATTCACCATTGGATTTCTGATGTCCTTTGAGCCAAGTATATGTTCTGTGCAACACATTCTGATCAATATCTATGTAAGGGTCAGCTTCAAGAAAACATCTTAAAACAAAAGCTGACAACCTTGGTGAAAAGGGGAAAAAATTATGTAAAATACACTTTATAAAGTTTTCCAAATAACACTGAGCAAGAAAAATACCAACAATAACACTTTTTTCCCCATCAGAAGATTCTCCAAAGGGAGAATCAGTGAAGAAGGAACAAACAAAGGGACACCGTGAACAACTCTGACCGGCAGGTGGACACAGCTTTCCCTCGACTGTGGCCAAAACCCCAGGTCAATCCACAAAACTGCAGACTTGGAAAGGAACCCAGAAATCATCTAATCCAGCCTCATTGTTTTATAGATCAAGAATTTGACACTCAGTTAAATAAACTGTCCCAGGTTATTCATCTTTGGACTGTTCTGGGGAGGTCTCATCACCCACTTCATTCAGCCCTAAAGCTGCGGATGACATACACGAAGTTCACAATCAAACTGTATACTTTTAAGTAGACGAAATGGGTATGTTCTCTCCTCTAGAACAGGAGTCAGCAAATTACAGTCTGTGGGTCAAATCCAGCCCAGGGTCTGTCTGTCTGTACCTCTCTCCCGGCCCCTACACCTAAGACTGGTTTTTAAAGGGTGAGAAAGAGAAAGCGAAGGGTGAGGGGAGTGGGAAGAACATCAAACAGGGACTCTGCGGCCTGCAATGCCTAACATACATACTGTCTGACCCGCTACAGAAAAAAGTTTGCTGATCCCTGCTACAGAACACTAAATATTGAGGTGAAAAGAACATCAAACAAGAAAACATTAAAACCCTTCTATTTATGGATCTATATCCTGACTTATGCCAAAAGAAAATGTGAAGCAGATCTGTTCTACCCTATAAAAGACTGAGTGTGGTAAACATTACTAATATTCAATAATATCCAGTTCTCTTTTACTTTGAGTATGCAGAGGAATTCACTTCCTTGCCTCCCTGAAGTTAGGCATGGCCACGTGACCAGCTCTGATAATAACAAAGTGAAAAGAAATGTTACACCAAGGCTGACGCATCTAATTGCCAGTGCTGGATCCTCCAGGCTTCTCTTCCCAGGCAGTGGCAAGCCTGGAGCCTCCTGGTGAGACGGTGAGGTGGCAGCTGAAGCAAAGACTGCAGATCCCCCTGCTGACCCACAATGGAAATGCAGCATGAGCAAGAAAGAAACCTTTGTTGTTAATACGCTACAGTCATGCACTGCAGAACAACGTTTCCAGCGACGACAGACCACGTGTATGACTGTGGTCCCGTAAGATTAGTACCACGTAGCCTAGCTGTGTAGTAGGCTACACCATCTAGCTTTGTCTAAGTACTGTAGAGGAGGGAGAAATTTTCCTTCACCCTTCAAGGTTCTTCTGGCTGGTCTAAGAATTAAATTAATATGAGACAGATTAACAGGAGAAAAACAAACAAAAGTTTAACAACACGTACATATGGGAGAAACCCAGGAAAACTGAGTAACTTGCCAGAATGGCTGAAGCCCTCACCTTAAATACCATCCTCGGCTAACTACAAAAGATGTTGGGGGTGGGGAGAGTCAGGGACTTCAAGGGGAAGGAAGACAATTCACAGGTAGATGAAAAGGAGCAAACGTTTGGAAAACAAGTGTTTGGCCACACCAAAACAGAAGAACACAGAGGGGAGCCCAACAAACAGGCTTTTCTAGGTTCCTCCCTGTGTACCACCTAGTTCATGTTAGGCTAAGGTGATAGCTCACTTCCTGAGACTGGTTTTTTAAATCCATATTTTTTTAGGCAGTTAATGAGGAGGTAACAAAAAAACCTTTCTGAGTCTTTTGTTTCTTAAAAATAATCAGCTTAAAATAATCCTCACATTAAAGAGACACATTTTGGGGTAGCAAACTTTGTTCCCCTTCAATACACTCTATGAGGTTCACACAACAGAATCCCCTAATGACGCATTTCTCAGAACGTCTCCCCGCTGTTAAGCAACACCAACACGTCTGTCCTGAGGTTTTTTGTTACCAAGACAGGCACTGTCTAACTTGACTGGTATAGCTCATTAATCTTTTTCTGAGTAAAATATGAAATTGAAGATAGTGCAAGAAAAGAGAGTAATCATCCAAAATCAGCCACAAAGAGATTCCATTCTGGAGGAAACACTGGATATTGATTACTTAATTCCATCACTGTTTTTCACAAAAAATAACATTGAAGAAACTACATTGACTGCATTAACACAAAATTCATGTCGATCATGTTGATCATGTCGGGGTAAAGAAAGAACTATGTCACAATCACCCAGTACTTCTAACTGATTTTTCTTGTCAGCTGCAGCTTCAACTAAAGTATTTTTATTGCTGCTTTTTCCACCAAAAAAAAAAAGGATTTATGATCTATCTTTTCTAGATAAAAACATTTGATTTGTTAGTGTTTTAAAATCATATTTAAAAAGGAGATCTCTTTTAAAGCCAGGCCATGGAAAAAGCAGCCTCTGAGCCTACACACACAGACACATCCCTCAGTTTCACGGCCATCGTGACCCACCGAGAACCCACCCAAGGCACGGATTTGTCCATCACCAAAAACACTCACCAGGTGCTCCCAGAGCAGTCAGCACTCCCAAAAGCGCTGAAGGAGCCATCTTCCCTCTGATAGAAAAGTTCTCTCTGGTAACCTGGAGACAGAAAAACAGACAGACTACGGAATCATCTCGCAGTGAATGGAAGTTTCTAATCATGACTTCACATTGAGGAAACATGGGCAGAGAATGGGAAAGAAGACGACATGAAATCAACAATTAATATTGAATACTTTCTATATTAAGTGCTGTGGGAGATCTAAAATACCAGGAGTTTTCAAGCAGAATGCGTAAAATAAGAACTGTGATATCCCCAAATTATAGCAAATTCAGAAGAATACTATGACATAGACAACAATTCTAGCCATTCAAAAGCAAGCAAATTGAAGGCAGAGTTTTATTTAACTCAGCGGTTTTCACCACAATGGATTCAATGCTTAGTCATCCGAAATTTTTTGCTACCTAAGGACAAAACTATCTAGAGTATCATAAATAAAGTTTAAGGCTAAAACAGAAAGAAAAAAAATACTTTCTATGTTCAGGCCAGAAACAGAGGGGGGAAATTGCTAAATAATCTAAGACAATGGTGGCTCGAAAATGTTTTGGCTATGGCCACCTGAGGTAAACAAAAGACCAACAGTCTGCCCATCACACCAATTCCATATTCTCACTAAAAAAAGAACTTGGTAGTGGTAATGAAGCCTTATCATAGAAGTAAATTGGGGAGGGGGTCAAGGCTCATGTAGTTGCTTTTTTTTTTTTTTTTTTAAATCTGGAAATTTTCCAGATTTTTTTTTTTTATTTTATTTATTTATTTTTCCCCCAAAGCCCCAGTAGATAGTTGTATGTCATAGCTGCACTTCCTTCTAGTTGCTGTATGTGGGACGTGGCCTCAGCATGGCCCGAGAAGCGGTGTGTCGGTGCGCGCCCGGGATCCGAACCCGGGCCGCCAAGCAGCAGAGCGCGGGCACTTAACCGCTAAGCCACGGGGCCGGCCCAACACGTAGTTGCTTTAATAAAAGCAGGTAGATGTTCCATATTTGCAAAACATGGTTGCAAATAAGAGGCAGATGTTTCATATTTGCAAAGCAATGCCTGCAAGTCTCAAAGTCCATTGACTGAGAAATCATAGGCCAAACACTAAAAGATTTACCAAACAACCCACAACAAATTAACTTGCTAAAAATGAAATTAAAATAGCAACAATTTATCATTAAAAATCAAGCATAAGCAACAGCCAAAAACATTTCCAACTCAAGGCATTATCAATGATTCTCTGATAACTAAGAATTTTTCCTGAAAATTACAGAATTCCACACAGGCAGCTGAGGGCACACAGTATGGGCCTTGCAGCATGGGCCACGTAGAGCCTGGTAACCATAATCATTTGTAAATTGTTGACTTCAACCCCTAGGAAACTCTAGTAACCAAAAAAATTTTACTTTATGAATTTTAGAAGCATTTTAGAAGCATCAATAACTCTAAATAATTATTCATATTTGACTAACAAAACAAGAGCATCAATGGTGTACAATCACTGTTAATCTGCTCTTGCCATGTCCCAAACTGTTCTCCTTGATCCTTTCCATAAAAAACCCCAGAGCAGAGTATCTTATTTAAGCTACCGTAAGACAAAGCGTGTAAAAAGCAAGACACTATTTCATGGTGATCTTTAAGACCTCTGGTAAAAGAAATATAAACAACATTTAAGTGATGACAGAATTTTGTTTAACTTGAAGAATGGAGTGTTAGGTTACAATCTTTATTTTTAAAACCAAAATATGGTATGGTAATTAAATAGACAACCTTTATCCAACACTGACTAACTGCCAGGAACTGTTCAAAGCCATTTTCAGGTATTAACCCAGGTAATTCTCACAACAGCCCTATGATGTAGATGCCATTATCTCCGTTTCAAAGACGACGAGACTGGAACTCAGAACACATCAAGCACAAGGTCACAGAGCTGGCAGGTACCAAAGCTAGGCACTAGCCAAGGCCTGTCTCCAAAACTGCTGTTTCCTACTAATTCACAGAGGTCCTTGCATGATTAATACATGATAGTACTTAGCACAGGGCCTTTTCCATGGCAAGCTCTCAATAAATAGGTATCATTCCATAATATGAGCGTAGCAAAAGGCTTTCCAGCCATCCAATTTTGAAGAAAAAATTTGATAAATTTGACTACAAAAAAATTGTTTTAAACTTTTCCATGGCAAAACACACTATTAGCAACGTGAAAAGACAGATGATAAATTAGAAGAAAATATTTGCAACATATAAAACAGATATTAAACAGCTAATATTAAATATGTAAATTTTATGTGTATGTTTATATATTATTACTATATATCTATACATATACACATATAAAGAACTTTTTTAAATTTAGAGAGAAAGATAAAAAATCCTACAGAAAAAAATGTACAAAAGACAAGAACAGACATTTCATAAAAAAACAGACAGACCTTAATATATGAAAAAATGTTCAACTCCATAATAGACAAAATGCAAATTAAAACTGACATACCATTTCTCCACCCAGCACATTAGCAAAGATTCAAAAGCTTGACCATTCATTCTGTTGGGAAGGCTGCAAGGAAACAAGTACCCATCCATTCCTAGAGGGAATTCAGAATGGTACAACTCCTATATAGGAGAATGTCTATAACTTTTGACCCAATAATCCCACTTTTAAGAATCTACCCTGAAGACATACCTCCAACAATACAAAAATATACATGCAGAAGATTATTCATTGTAGCATTATTTGTAATTGAAAAATACTGGAAACTACCTAAATGCCCCCAAATTGGAGATTAGTTGAATCAACTGTGGTACACACACACAATGAGTACTATGCAGCTGTGAAAAAAGAATGAGGACTATCTCTCTGAATTGATGCAGAGTAACTTCATGGATATACTGTTAAGTGGAAAAGGCAAAGTCTAAAATAGCATATAGAGTATACTACCTTTTCTGTAAGAAAAACAGGAAATAAGAAAATATATATATATATGTTAATTTCTGCTGCAAGAGAGAGAAAAATGATAAACTAGAAACTAATGAAGTAAGTTACCTACAAGGGGTACGGAGAAGGGATAAGACAGAGAAAGACACCTCTTTGCATTACCTTTTAGGATCAGTTTGACTTTTGGAAGGATATTAGTGTTCTACATATGCAAAAAATCAAATAAGCAAGTATGAAAAAACTTAAATGACAGGTATTATTAACACTACCATAGTTCACCTTAACATGTTTTAGTTTTCATACAACCTTGAAAGAAATGCAATATATAATCTCTTCCTTTTGCAGAGCCAGTCAAGGATCACAGAGAAGCAGAATAATTTTCTAATATTCACAAAGGAAAGTAGCAAAAGAGTCCAAGACATTCTCCCTCAGTTTCCAGTTCAGGACTAAATCCACCAGACAGCAGAGTTTAACTGTGACCTCAATCTGACAGAGGCGGGGAGGAGAGAGGAAGGGAGGAGACAGAGTAGGGGAGGAGCGGAGAAAGAAGAGGAGAAGAAGAGAAAAGAAAAAAGAAAAGGAAAGAAAAGGTTCAGGGCCCTCCATCACTACAGGAGGTGTTGCTGTGGGAAGAAGGACCAACCTTGAGGAGAGGACCACGTGCCTCCAAGCCCCCAAATCATATCGACACCTGCAGTTCCAAGTATGAGTTCTTGTGAACCAGTCAGAGAGATGAGATCATGAAGAAGAGATCAGTGCTTATGGAAATTACCCTCCATGTGGACTGTGGCTGACCTCCAACAGTCCCCACTAACGTCAACAACTAGCACCACTCCTCCTCAGGGCGGCCAGCCCAGAAGGCGGCAGGACTCACAGACCACCTCCAGTTGTGGAGTGCATTTCCTGAGCTGGTTTAGATAAAACTAAGAATCCAAACCTCCAGCTCTGCTCCTATGGCCAAACAAAGGAGAGAATCAGCACCTAAAGAGAGGAGCTTCTATGGCTGTCCTGGTGGGAGCCTCCTGTGAGCTTCCTTCCTCATCCTAAACCGGCCATGCATTAAGAGAGCCCTCGCTGCTTGTCCTCCAACTCACTGCACCAGCAGAGAGGGACATGGTGGACTCGACTGTAATGTTCATTGTTAGTACAACTCAGCGTTCCAGTGCAGTCATCTAAATTGGAGACTTTTCATCATGATAGGTGAGAAAGGCAAAAACATGGCTGTCTCCAAAAGTTTATGAGAAAATAAGAGTTTTGCCCTTAAGTTCATAGTTTTATGAATAGCTCTTGAGTTAGCAAGTATTAGTATAATCAGAATTAAGAGACACTTGTGAAAATTAAAATACAGAACAAGTTTAGAGGCTGTTAGGATAATGAACCACGAAATGTTATTTATAAAGGGTCAGATAAGATACATATCTACTGGGTCATGAATTTCCTTTGGAATAGCCATGAATGTAAAATATTTACAATTTATCACAACAAAGATGAAAGTACTCTTCATAGAAACACATAGAAAAGTAAATTCTAAACATAATTTGACTTGGTTTACCTCAAGTGTCAAAATTGCACATAAACAAAGAAGTAAAATCAGCTCCTTGTGCCCACACCAATCCCTTTCTCTGGTAAAAAGCTGATAAAAATACTCTCTGCATAACAAGACAAGCAATCATCATCAACTTCCTTAATCTCCACAACATGAAAGGGAAAGTGAGGACCTGGCCAGGTTTTTAGCATCTTCACTATTGCCTCTAGCCATTCTCGTGATGACCAAATGCAGCAACAGCATTCTGAAACCTATTTTTTTCCTGTTTTTATTTCAACAGAAAAAAATATAATGTGTTTTCAACTAGGCTTGGTCTGAGTCTTACTTGAAAAATTGAGCCAGAGGCACTGTGATTTAAATATTTGAGGAAAACTAGTGGTTTAAATCTCCAATTAACAGGTTCAGAATTTCCAGTCTTTATGAAAAACAGTTTTCATTTTACGGTTCTATTTTTCTTTTTGACAGCAAAGATACTTCATTCAATGATGTAGCTGCTGCTCTGACCAAAAAACAATGGGTTAGGTTACAGGGCTCCCGGTCCAAGCATGAGTTAAGTAAAACAAAGCACCGTTAATAAATGACATTTAAGTAATATAATCATGACTCATGCCAAAACCACTTTAATTTCTTAAAAAATAAAAACAACTACGATATACTTAAAGGACTTTGGCAAATGTGATGGCAAAAGAAAAACAGAGTCTCTGAAATGAGACACTGATTTCCTAATGAAAATCATCATACCAAGAAGCCTTTGCCCACTACTTTGAAATATAACTTACTTCAGCATGTGAGATGCTGTATTTTGGGGAGCTCCATTCCATCAGCCACTTCACCAGCTCAAAAGGTAACACTGAAACCACTGGTCACATTTCCTAGCTGGTAAGAACATGCCAAGGCCAGGTAGAACCTTGGTGTTGATAAATAATCACTACACTGCGGAAGCACTTGAGAGATGTTCCAGGCCCAATCTCCACATTAGGATGATGAACCTAAGGCCCAAAGAAGCTAGTATGATAACAATGCATTCATCCATTCCGAATTTACTGAGGCGCCTATATAGACAGTGACACAGTGGAGGAAAGATTAAACATGGTCCCCGCTGTCAGGGAGCTTGCCAGCTAGTGCAGGAGACAGTTAGATATTAGGCAAACAAGATAATTTTCAATAATGTTAAGTATGATGAAGAAAATAAAATGAAGCAATATAGACGGGAGTTACTAAATGGTCTGGGAAGGCCACTCTGAGGAAAACACTACCTGAACGACAAGAAGGAGCCAGCCAGGGAAGGATCTGGGGAAGAGCATCCCAGGAGAAGGAAGAGTAAGCGTAAAGGCTTGAAGCACCGTGGAGCTGGGGGTGCTCCCGATGGAGCCGAGGAGGAGCCAAGAGAGGGAGCTCCGGAGAAGGGGAGAGATGAGGCCAGGCCAGTTCCCTCAGGGCCTTGGAGGCCAAGGCCAGGAGCCACTGGAGCATCCTCAACAAGGAAGTGACGGGATTCTGACATTATCAGAAGATCCCTTTTATAACATGTGGAGACAGTACTGCAGGGGCGTGCCCAGAGCAGCACGGAGTCTAGTTAGGAGGCCACTGGAATTGGCCGGGGGCAATGATGCTGTTTGAACGGAACCATGAGCCGTGGACAGAGAGGGTGGAAGAATGTCACGTGTTTTTAGACAAATGTGGAATGGACAAGATTTACTTACTGACCCTAGACCCTAAGTCCCTAGTTAGATGCAACTATCTATACTATAACCGACAGTCATTGGGCATTTCCTACGTGCTAAAATATCTCATTTCATCTTCAAAACAGCCCAGTGCAGCGGGTATTTTCATTATTCCTGTCTTACAAGTGGGGAAAACGAGGCTCGAGACTTAGAGAAACCGGCCCAAAGTAGGAGGCAGGCTTCAGAGCCCAGATCTGAGGCGCCCAGAGCCACCAGTGCCGGGAGGCTGGGCCCCTTTCTCCAGAGACGGCCTCGCCTACTTGACAGCCACACTCTTCATCCTGACGACCACTGGAAGACAACGCGGCGTTCAGGGAACAACGCTTGTTCTGCCTTCTCACTCTGCCCCTCCTAACAATCAGCAAACGTGAACACTCCCCAGCAGTCAGAGGCGACGGAGCCGCCCCTGGAGGCAGCTTTGAAAAACTGCACTTGGGCACCACCCTGGCCGGGACCAGCACTCCTATTGGAAAAAAACAGGCACTGAGGATTTGGGCTCCTCGTTTTTCAGGACATCTGCTGACCCAGAGCAAAATGTCTAAGACACAAACTCGAAGTCTTTTTAAGGGATGAGCTAATCATTCCTTAAACGGTTCAAATGATAAAATTTATTCTGTGTTTTTAAAGCATCAATATTTGATTAGCCAATATTACAGTTCATAAAGCATATAAAATATGAAATAAATGCCATTTTCCAAAATACATTATTTTATTAAAATATCCCAAAGAATGTATATCAAATTATAAAGTACCAGCTAGCTCCTACATACTTTCTACTGGAATCTAGCCAAACCAAATTTTGAATACAAGTCAGAATCTTGTTCTCAAAAGGTGCAGAGTTAAATTAAGATAATCCCAAATATTGTTTACTCCTCTCTGTAAACGTCACCATGGCAGCAATGTGCACAGGTCTCCTTTGTTTTGAGCGTGGCACACACTATACCACAGACAGCAACTGGTACCACTTCTTAAACTTAATTAGAACTTGAAAAAAGCAGCTTTTGTATTTATATACTTAAAATACGCCTGATTCACAAACACATGTAAAAAGGAGGATAATTTTATTTCTTTCTTTCTTTTTCCCCAAAGCCCCAGTAGACAGTTGTATGTCATAGTTGCACATCCTTCTAGTTGCTGTATGTGGGACGCGGCCTCAGCATGGCCGGAGAAGCCGTGCGTCAGTGCGCACCTGGGATCCGAACCCGGGCCGCCAGCAGCAGAGCACGCGCACTCAAAGGCTAAGCCACGGGGCCGGCCCAGGAAGATAATTTTAAATGGGCAACTCTGTACAGAAAGTACCAATTGCTAGGTTGTTGAAAATTTCCTGGAGGATTTAACCACCTCCCACAGGGCCTGGCTCTAATCCCAGGGAAGATATACCACTATCTCCTTCCCCTCAGCAGAACTCAGGTCACACCCAGCCCCCCTGAGTCCAGCCCCTGGTCTCCGGTAGTTTGTCCTCTCATGCAGCACATGGTTCCTGGCTCACAACTCCCTCCTCCCACTCAGCCTTGGTCTGCACCAGCCTACCCCAGGAGAGTCAGACACAGACTTCAGCTCATCCCCTTGGATCCAACATCTTACAGCTCACTCTGGTCTAACCTGACACTCCAGATTCTAACCTTTGGTGTCCCCTTCCTATAAGACCCACTCCTCTATTACTGTTGTATCAGAACCCTCACGGAGACCTCTTACATGTTGGCCAGACCCAAGAATCTTGGCCCAATTTCTGGTCCTCTTCCAATCCTATCCTATTGCTTCTAACAACCTAAGTATGTTGCAAAGGAGACTTACCCCACCTGGGGAGTAACCATTTAACCTCCCTGTGCCTCACTTTCCTCATCTGTAAAATGGAAATAATAACAGTACACCTACCTCCTAGGGTTTTTGTGAGAATTAAATGAAAACATTTGTAAAGCATTTAAACAGGGTTAGTTATTACTATTATTACACAGAACTTAGTTTAGGACAAACAAGTCTACATAATGAGGGAAGAAAAGCTCACATCAAAATAGTATTTTTACTAAGTCTTCTAATTCTTACCTATGGAAAAGTTAGCAAAACTGATAACAGCTTGCCTCTATTTGCATTTAATCCATTCATTATTAAAAAAACAAAAACAAAAGACTTAGGAGTTAGAAAGTGTTGATTCAATTTTTAGATTACACTGAACAAGCATTTTCCTCTCATTTTGCATGAGTCATTCTAGTTCTCAGGAGTTTTATGGACACGTTTCCCTAATTGTGCAGAGAGAAAGACAAACTCAGCCACAGAGATCTTGCTAGAGGTCCCCTAAAGTGGAAGCACAAAACTGAGACGGTAACTTTGGGTGGTTGGCTCGTGGAATATTTGAGGAAATCAAATTTACATTATTATTATTAAAAATGTCTCAAAACCTTTCCTTTTCTCCTAAGTGTGGACATTCAGAGCATGGATTCTGGGGGCAGTGAGTTCAAATCCCAGCTCTGTACTCACTGGCTGTGTGACCTGGGCCAGTTAGTTAACTTTGCTGCGCCTCAGGTTCCTCATCTGTAAAAGCAGGAGGACAATATTAATACTAACTGTGAGCATAAATATTAGATGCAAAGTACTTAGAACACCGCCTGCCACATGGTCAGCACTCAAGTAACATTAACCGTTATTAGCGAGTTGCAGACACAAAGCATCTGGTGTCTGTGAACAGTATCAGACTCTCTCAAGGAGTAGGCGTGGAATAATCACCGGTGTGCATTTTCTGAGGGGCCAGCAGGGCCTCCTCACAAACATTTCTCTCCTAATCCCCAACTACCTGACATTTTACAGGCGCTGAGAAGCACTGCACATGCGGCCCCAAGTGATTTTCTGTACAGACCGCCTTCTCCCCTGAGCAGGGGCTCCCCAGGAGGAAAGGCCCCACTGCCTCTGTCTCCTCTGCCCCAGAACGGACCCCAGCACTAAAAGGCACTGCATGAGTGTGTAATAAATAAATGAACACTCGTTCCTTTAGATTTTTAAATAGCTTTAAATTTCAGGTCCCTTATTAAAATACAAAGCCCTCCAGAAACTAACTCTTCACAAACACCCTGGCAGCCATCGGTGACCCAGTAGCTGAAGGAAGACAGGACAGCTCCTGCCACTTGCACTTGTACCCATTTCAACAGCATCTAGTCCCCAGGCACAGAGCAAGGGCAAAATAGTCTACTCTGAAATAGGGGCTAGAGTGAACTCTGCCTAAAAAAAAAACGAAAACAAAATGTTTTTTACAAATAAAGGGATGTTTTTAAAATACTTACCTTGCCTCATAAATGAAAGGGCTTTTTCTTTTAAATTCTCTGTCAGTTGTTTCTTTTTAGTCAGGTAATCCAAAACATAAACGTTTGGAGCAAAATTGATCATGTTCTGTTCACCACAGCCATAAGGCATCCGAATCAATGAGGCTAAGCCATTGATGGAAGAACCAAGAATATCTCCTGAAAGCAACAGACATTCAATACGTTCAGCAAATCCTCAACAACTGTCCCTGCTGGAGGCAGAGAGACCCAGTGAGCAGAGAAGGCATCTGACATCGACATAACACGATGCTCGGAACAGAAGAGAAACTTCACATAAAGCTTCTAGAAAGACTGGTCAAATAAATGATAATACAGTGGCACTAAACTTGTAGATTATGTGACATATTAGGAGACTTTTAGCTCAGTTAAAGATATGACATATGCTAGGCAAAATATGAGTTTAAAAAATAATTCTTGAACAAAATGTCAGGAATTAAGCATTAGGAATCCATCTCTCATATAAGAAAGAAATGTTTTATTGTGAGTATTCGTCACATAAATAGAACTTTATTCTAAGTAGTTACTAATACACTACAAATACCTGAGAAATGATTTTTTTTAAAGGGCAGGGATTGTAGTATTTTTCAATGTTCTCTATTTAGCAACAACAAAGTGGAACGAACAAGTACAAGTATTTCAACGAATCTTAGGATCAAAAAGGATTAGGACTATTCTTCAAAATTAGTAACACAAAATTAAATAAAATACATGCTTAAAAGACTCCTCCACCCACATTCCAACACCATGAGTCAGGAAAAGAAGTAAAAATTCATAAATAGAGAGGTTGAGCTCTAATTCTGACTCCACTATGGTTGAGCTGTATGGAGAAGAATATTCTTCTATATAATTTATTTTAGAAACTTACACCATTCCAAGTAAAAATACCTATGAAAGTTTGATCCTGAGAAATATGAATCCAAAACAGAGAGGAAGACCTCTTTCATATGAGCAGACTGCAGCCCTGCTTAGTCGAAGACTAAGAAGTCTTCAACTGTCCATGTTAACACAGAGTTAACAGTGGTTACAGCATTACCACTGCAGGTTATGTTTTTAATATTCAAAGTGAACATAAACTTAGACTCTCTAAATTCAAAGAAGCAAGCTAATATTCACATTCTGGGCTTCCAAATCGATTTTTTTTAAATAAATAGATTTTTTTAAATAAATAGATTTTTTTAAAAAATAAATTTTAATAAAAATAAAACTTGAAAAATCATTCTTTACATCAAGCCTCAGAGTACTTCAATGACCATAGATAGACTCACTCCAATGTAAGGAGTGGTAGTATACCTTTAAAATCAAGGCTTCTTCCCTGTGTGTGTGTGTGTGTGTGTGTGTGTGTGTGTGCGCGCGTGGGCGCACATGTACCGCATCCCCACTATGTGTGCTGCATCTCCCAGCACCCCCACACTGTAGGAGATGCTTAGGTAGAATTTATTCCCCTAAAGAGAAAGCTCATTTAATTCTTTTTAAGAATTATATTTAAGATTCCAAAAAAAGTCCTCTATGGAGGGATTGGTTATTTAGGGTTATAATAAAAAGCATTACACCTACAGATAAGATTTAAAAGAACCTCTGAAAAAGTGCCTTAGATCCTGACACTTTGAAGACCTAACAAACTATTCAGATGTCATTAATCTAAACATTTCCTTCAGTTATCTGTAAAGCACAACTATATAAACAAACCATGTGTGTGGAAGCTATGTTCAATAGTTGATTGAAAAGTACTTTCACGGGGCCGGCCTGGTGGTGCAGCTGGGTGCGCGCTCCGCTGCAGCGGCCCGGGGTTTGCTGGTTCGGATTACGGGCGCACACGGACACGCTGCTTTTTGAGCCATGCTGTGGCGGCGTCCCACATAAAGTAGAGGAAGATGGGCACGGATGTTAGCCCAGGGCCAGTCTTCCTCAGCAAAAAAAAAAGAAGAGGATTGACATTGGATGTTAGCACAGGGCTGGTCTTCCTCACAAAAAAAAAGTACTTTCAGGTTGCCAGAAGGTGCCTGGGAGAAGGGATTAAAGTCAGTGGGTAGCCTTCTCTGTAACGGTCACCTGTGTTCTGCACAGAGAGCTGTTCTAAGCAGCAATTCTCAACCTGTGGTTATCAGAATCACTTGTGGAACCTTTTCAAAATATACATACCCTAGCCATAGCCCAAGAGACTCTGAAAGAGTACATTGAGGGTAGAGCCCAGAGATTTGTGTTTTCACAAAGCTCCACAGAAGATTCTGATGTTCACCAGTGGTCGAGAGCCACAGAAGCCAGAAGCTCTGCTCTCAAAAATAAGCCCTCCCTCCAGCCACATCACAGCATGGCCTTGCCACTCAAAGAGTGGTCTGCAAACCAGGAGCACCAGCGTCATTTAGGAGCTTGTTAGAAATGTAGAATCTCAGGCCCCACCTCAGAATTAGTAAACCAGAATCTGCCTTTAAACAAAATCCCAGGAGATGCATACGCACATTGAAGTTGAGAAGAACTGGTCTACGACACATCTTGCTAGCCTTTCTACTGTAATCAGCAGATGGTACCAAGTAAAAACCTTCTGCAACCTCTTCTTGTTAGGACTAAATAAGAAAATACACCCATAAACAGATGAAAAACATATATTATCATATACCAGTAAGCCAGCAGTGGCGGTGATACACTCTATTCTTACCAATTGCAGTGACCTGGACTCTTTCACTGCCACTCACTGTATTAGGAGGAAACGAGAAACTCAAAGTTCTCAGAGTAGTTTGTAGCTTGTTGTCAGTCAAGTCTAATAGGATGGATTGTGAATAGGATTTCTCTATTCCTTCAGCCTGTGGAAAAAAGGAACATAGTTAACATGGCCTTGACTCACCTGTTTACAAAGAAGTGTATGCAGATAATAAGACAAACACCTGACCTGTTGTGTCTGCAGTGTGTGTACCGCCAGGTAAGTATCTACTATTGCTTGACTTTTGCTTAAAATCTGTTGAAAATGTTTACTTTCTAGTTTATTAGACAAAACACTTCATGGAATGGCAATGGAAACGACAAAGGAGAAGATAAAAAGGTGATGAGCAAAACACTCGAAGGAGACCCTATTATTATCCAAAGAGAGAGATTAAATATCTTGTCCAAAGTCACACTTGACAGAGCTGGAATTCGAACCCAGAACCCAGCTGTCTCACTCCCAAACACAAGTGCTCATCCACTAGGCATAGCTGTCTTTTTCTGCATAACATCTTCTCTAAAAAAAAAAACTAAAAAATCTCTTCTACCTGTACGGAGGAATTCCAAAATTCAAAATCTACATATCAACTTGGCATGATTTAATAGGATCCCAATGTAACAGTCTGTAAATGTAATTGACTGCAAAAGAGTCATACTACAAATTTAAAGAGAAAATTGGCAATTACTTTCAAAACATATATGTGATATATTTTTACATACAGATGAGAAAACAGGCATTACCAGAAGGGTGTAGGAGATGACCTTCTAGATATTGCCATTAAATTTAGCCAACAGAAAAACCACCTTCTGTTTCCTTTTCACTTACGTATTTCCATTTCGTTTATTAAGACGTCCTGTATTTACCTTTACTAAAATCCTCTGGGTGACGGCATCGGAAGCAGCAGGTGAAGTAGCTGTGACTGTAACAGGAATTTCCCCCAGATGTGTGGGCTTGACTGGGAAAACAACACTTGCCCCATCCTCACTGGGAACCAGAATGGTCTGCTCGTGTCCTGTGGCATTTATTTCATTTGAAGCCATTAGAATATTAAATTTGTCACTTTTTTCAATGATTACCTTAACCTGGGAGAGAAAATTATCAAACGTTTTGTATAATAAATGCCTCTCAGTAAAGTGTTGTTTCTTCACCACTTTAAGTGCTGTTAAATCTGTGAGGCCCAGGACTAGAGATGAGACAGGAAGATCCAGCCAAGGAAAGGAGGAAAGGGTATCAGAAGAAATTTCATTTCTTTCCTATGCTTTCCCTGAACCTCACGATACATATGGAAACGGCATTCTTCAGTTCCATTTCTAGCATTAAACTCCCACTAACATTAAATTCTCTCATTATCCAAAGCCTCTGACTGGTAAGTTGTGCCCAGAAAGGTTATTTCATGTCATGGTATTGCCACCTGCCTGACTGTACTGTGTCATCAGGACACGGGTCCCATTAGAAAAAGCTGAGACAAACAGGGTGCAGTGTTGTTACACTCCTGAGGTCTCTGCTGGGATCACTCCATGGGCAGTGGGACCCGGACACCAGTCCTGAAGCGAGTGTGAGTTGTGACTTTTGTGAAGTGTGTCAAAGTGGCCAGTCTCATTGAGAACAGCACTTCTCTAGGCCTTACATTTTATGAATTGTTTTCCCATTTATTTTCTCACTTGTGTCTCAAAATATTTTCTATAGGAAGAGTATTTATTATTCCCATTTGACAGCTGAGGAAACTACAATTCAGTTATTTGCTGGTAAGTGGTAGAGCTGGACACTGAATGCAGACCTGCCGACTCCAGAGCTTCTGCTGTTTACACTGTACCATGCTGAGTAGATTAAAAAGTAAAATTAAAAAATAAGAAAATTTACTCTATAGGCATAGTGCTTAAAGAGATTATGGCATTGTCATGTAACAATGTGAATTACATATCCCTACTTACTCGGGAGGGGGGATCACTCATTTCATGAACACTACTACGGGCACAACTGTAGACAGTGGGCTAATCCCTGCCTTCCAGAGAATCGACCAGCCAAGGAGACACAAGGCACATGACTCTGAAAACAGAAGACACCGTATAAACCTGAGGACGACGACACGACACAGCAGAAGGGTGCGAGTCCTCAGAAAAGGTATCTGAGTTTCAAGCTGAGTCTTGAAAGGGATCAATTCTTGCTAACTGCAGTGGGCACAGAACAGTGGTGACACCCCCTCCTCGATGTGGGGAAGACCAGGAAAAATGCAGGGAGGCAGGAAAGAGATAGGCATGCCTCAGAGACATAAGGAAGTACGTGGCTGGAGTGAAGAATGTGCTGGAAATCAAGGAGAGGGTGCTTGGACACGCTAATCCTGCCCTCAGACATCAATAAGCAGAAGAAATTGCTGACAAAGTACGTCTGTTTTCAATCTCCCAGAAACGTATAAAATGCTGAGTGCCCAGATGCCCACACACTCCACAAGCCAATCCCTGCATGTTTTCTCCAGTTTTTCCTGAAGTGTAGATGATTAACAAAATCTTTAATATATTACCTCAGTGGCATCTTTCAAATAATTGAATATGGTTACTTCCAAAGCAAATTCTTCACCTCTGATAACAGAGTAGGGAAGATTCAAAAAAATGAAAAATGGTTGGAAGGCTTGTAGCTGGAAAGAACACAAGGAATACATATTTTATTCTAGTCAAAATGTTTCACATATTATGCAATTAAAAACAAATCTCACTAAAAAAAAAAAAAAGCAAATCTCACAAAACCTGTGAAGCTTGTAACTTCACATAGAAATGGTCACTTGCCTATCAACAGAAAGCAAACAGCAACTTATCCCAAATAAATGATAGTATACTGACTTGATTTATGTTATTTAACATAGTAAACACAACATTTTATTAAGCACCAACTAGGAACCAGTTACTTTACACAAATTATTTCATTTAACCATTACAACCCTATGAGGCAAGTGTTATGCACATATTTCACAGAAAAGAAATCTGAAGGTCAGATATCTCTGTAATTAGTACAAGATCACACTGGGTCCCAGCGTGTCTGACGCCAAAGCCAAGTTCCTCTTCCACTACACTACCTTGACTCCACCAACCTGCTTAAAAGCCACTGGCGAAATCAAACAGCCCCTGTTTTAGACTCATGTGGAAAATCTAAATGCTGTTCTGCTTACTGCCTGCTAACATATACATACACGTGCACTTCCTCGTAGGTGACTCAACTTTGCTATTGTTGGCCAAGTCCTGCAGGGGAGGCTACACCCCTCCCCTGCCTCTGAGGATAAACCCTGAGTAGTTAGGCCAATGGTTGCCACGGAGAGGTTTCTTTGGACATCTGTGGAAATGTCTTAGATTGTCACAAGGATTGAAAGGTGTGATTGGCACTTGGTGAAGGTCTGCAATGCTCAGAGCAGTCCCAGACGATGAAGAACTGTCCCATGTCCCTCATGATTTTTGACTGTCCCTTCAAACATTCATGTAGATGAAGTGCCTGCTTATCATGACCTGGGCTTATGACCTAATTCCAACTCAATATGTAAACTCAAAGCATTTTTCAATGCACACTGAATTTTTCGTGAATACAACTATTCTGTAAATTAAGAGAAAGATTGTAATTTGTTTTGTTTGTAACTTTACCAAAAATTTTTCACAGTTTCAGAAATTTACGTCACCACAGGTAGCACCACTCCAGGTTTCTGAGTTGCTAAAACAATACACGTCTGTCAAACCGCACCTGCACCGTCACACACAGTGTGATCCTATGCACAGCCAAATATTTAAATATGTTCCTATGCCTCCTAGTGCAGCTACGCCTGGTCACCTACATACTGAAATATATACTATTTTATTGTACATTACTTTCCTTTTATTTCTCATTAGTATTTCACTTAGGGCATCATATTGATTTTTTTTAATTGAGTATGTAGGTATATTATATTTTCTATGAATTTCATTTTGGATAATAAAGGAGCAAAACAAACTATCTGTTATAAAGAAAGGGCTTCAGGTACGACAGGTGAGAGCTCCTGGTGCAAGACCAATCCTGGTCACTACACTACCCTTGCCAGTGACTGGTCAGGAAGCGACACACGATGCACCTTGACCAAACAGATGTGAAGGAACGCCTGCCACAGGACAACCTGAGAAGTTCCACTCATTCTTGAAAGACGGACACATGGAAACTCTCTCTTCTGGCCTTTGGAAGAGGTTGGATTCAGTCAATAATAAACTTTCCATCCAAATCTTAATATGGACCTAGCACATTTTGAAGTTTAATACAGCTCATATTCTAAAATATAAAACAGATGAAAAACAAAAAGGAAAAGCCAAGGACTCTCTAAACTGTAACCAACATCATAAGCAATCATTTTTTAAAAATTCATTGAGGAGTTGACACTTCCTCACTGCGTGGCACTGTAACATTATAGGCAGTCCTTGAATACGCTACCTCCACTGGAGCAGCTGTTAGTCCAAGACCCAAGTCCTCAGAGATCACAAAAGCTGTAGCTACCCAAGAAGTGATAGAATCAGGCACAGTAACTTCAAATTCTTGGTAAATCCTGGAACTGAAGTCAAAATAAACATAAAAATCACAAAACCAAGAACTGACACATTTCAAAATAAGTCAACAAAACCTAAACCATTTTTTGAAAGAATTTTAATTTTCCAAATAGTTTTCATATCTAAATTTTTTAAAAGATTTAAGTATAAAACAGTGGATCCCAAGTTCTCAAGGAATAGGTTACAATAAGGTCATAATACTGCATATTGATCCATAGTCCAATAAAAGTTTTCTACAATGTATATATCTTCAGAATGAACATTATTTTCATAAATTTTGTATAGATAATAAATATATATTTTCAAATTTGACTCCAATTTATTTCTCTCAATTTGCATAAAAGTTTCCCTCTGTATCCCAGTCAATACCATTATTTGTTTTTTTGAGGTTTGACTTGTGTCTTATTTCAAGTTTCCATAAATGGCTGACTATAAAATATGTGTAGATTTCATGATGTACCTGCTCAGTCCTCAGGCCAGGCAGCACAGGGTTTGTCAACTAAGATGCATTCCTCCGGCATGCACGCCCCTTCTCCCAGTGCTTGTGGGGATGTTTATGAGGAGCCACAAGGTAGAGGGGGTAATCACGAGTGCTTCCCACCCCAAGGCAACACACGCACTCTCAGCAACTCTTCTCCAACAAGAACCACAAGACTCAAGGAAGTTAAAATCACCCTTCATTCAAAAAAGGCCTCTCTTCTCCTCAATGGTACTCTCACTGCCACAATGGGCATGTGGCTTTATTAAACACTATATCAGATACAATAAGCAACATTCTAAAAGAAAAAATTCTTTGTCTACTTAGTTCTTATCATACCATGCTTGCACTTAAACATTAGGAAGAGGGCAAAATTTGTTTAAAACTGACACTAAACAAAATACATATGGGCAAAGAACTTTATAAATTTTTACCCCATGTTGGTGTCTAGCCAAATCCAAGTCTCTGGAAAATGCCTTCTGACACGTGGACTGCCAACCGAAGAAAACTCATGAAAATCTACCAAGTATGCTTCATTTTCCTCCACAAACCTCTCAGCAACCTCTACATTGTCATCTAAAAATAAACAGTGACAACTGTTAGGGAAAAAGTCACCGTAAAGAATGTTTATAAACTTAGTCCACAGAATCACCTCTCAGCTGAATGGGACTTTAGAGTTCATCTGGTCCAATCCTGTCATTTGACAGATGAGAAACCTGAGACCCAGAGAACTCAGGTGACTAAGCTAAGGCCATGTGGCCAGCTATGGCAGAGCCAGAACAGCAACAATGAAAGTTCCCTGCACCCACGGCCAAGATCTGAAAAACTACTCACAGTTCAGTTACTAAAAATTAAGTAAAAGCATATTTTTAAAGCTACCTACAATTTTGCTATTCTACTCTTTCTAGCTCCCTAGTGTTGATTACCATTGGCTACACCAGCCATAAGATACTACAATCATCTAGTTTACTAGCTGTCCTCTTATTAAAAAAACCCATGTTGCCATACAGGCTCTGGATCGGCTATCTCTACTTTTTTCAAGTTTTCTATAAGTCTAAAATTATTTCAAAATAAAATGTAAAAAAATGTAGTAGGTACCAAGGATACAAAGATGAACACAATGAGCTCCACTCATAGTCTACGGAGGAGACAGACAGATAGAAAACTGTAGTAAACTTAAGAGTAATAATAGGGGCCGGCCCTGTGGTGTAGTGGTTAAGTGTGTGCGCTCTGCTGCTGGCGGCCAGGGTTCGGATCTTGGCGCGCACTGATGCACCACTTGTCAGGCCATGGTGTGGCGGCCTCCCACATAAAATGGAGGAAGATGGGCACAGATGTTAGCCCAGGGCCAGTTTTCCTCAGCAAAAAGAGGAGCATCAGCATGGATGTTAGCTCAGGGCTGATCTTCCTCACAAAAAAAAACAAACAAAAAAAGAGTAATAATAGACATAAGTAAAATGTCTATTACGCAGAGAATGGTTGATTTTACACAGAATCTGAATGATGAAGAGCATGGCTGGGGGGATATCCATTTTGCATTGATTTTTGCATTTCCATTTTCCCTAAAGTCTCCAGATAAAGAGTATCCCACACAGGGAAACAAAAAAGTAGGCTAAGTACAAAGGCATGTCCATAATATAACAATGAGTATCAGGTAAGAGTGGCATAAAATGAGAAGAGAAGGAATGGTTGGGTCCAGATTTTAAAACATCAAATATCCCATGCTGAAGGATTTGGACTTAATCCTTTAAGCAATGATGACCTACTGAGGGTTATAAAATAAATTAGAAACATGATATAACCCATGTTTTATAACAATAACTGTGGCCTCAGTGTGAACAATGGTTTAGAGGTGGAGGAAATAGAGGCAGTCAAACAGTTAGTTAGGAGGCGACTGTGATGGTCAAGGAAACGCTGATAAGGGTCTGACGCCAAGCAGACAAGAAGGACACTCTCAAGACAACTCTGCTCTGCCTCCCAGCTGGAAGACCTCTGTGTGCACCCACAGCACGCCTGTCACAGCCCTTGGCATACTCTTCTAATTGTGAGTTGGTTTGCCCCACTAGACCAAGTTGAAATCTCCACTGCCTCATACACACTAAGCATGCAATTAACATCATCACTATCTACTGAATAATGAATGAACAAAGTGGATCTGAGGGACAGGATAAAAGGTAACTGCAGACTTACAAATGACAAACATGTGCTAAGCATTTTATATACTTTTGGATTTAATCTCATAACAGCTCTGTAATACAAGTAATATTATTAGTCCTATACTTCAGGGGGAAACCCGAGGCTTAGAGAGGTTAACTGACTTTCTCAAGGTCATAAAGCCAGAATTCAAAGCCAGAAGTATTTGACGACAAATTCCTTTCTTAACCACTATGCTGTTCCACATCTGAGAGAAAGAAAGGAAGGAGCGAAGGACGAGTTCTGAGTTTCTGATCTAGAAAACTGGGTAGATGATGATTTCACTAACAGAGCTATGAAATCATATCAAGTAAAGGAATCATGTATCAATCAAATCATATTGAGAAAGAGTAAGGTTGTGAGGAGAGAGAAGATCGTAAACTTGGTTTGTGACATTGAATTGAAGATATTTGTGGGGCATCAGGGTGCAGAAACAGAGGGGTAATATAAACAGTCAAGATGCTGCAGAGTTGGGTTTAATGGGGACAACGTCATGAAAGGACAAGGGACGAGGGAAGAATTCGACCAAAGTGGTTAACCATGTGGTCCACCCAGGTACTGGAGGGAAATAAAGACAGGCGAAGCCAAAAACTCAGAATAACCAAGAGAAGTCAAAACCAAAGCAGACATCTAACAGATTTAGAGGAGTGAGGGAATATACAAGGTAGAAGGACAGGCAATGGAAACGTCAGTAGACAATGTTCGGGTGACAAGATGACCTTGGGTGACTACTGTTACCACAGTGGTAATCGCAGGATGTGCACATTGGATGGATCAGCCACATGGACACCCAAACCCCCAGGAGGACAACAGGAGGAAGACTTGGAATCTTGTGTGAGAGTCGTCAATGTATAGAGAGGGAAAGGGAAAGTAGGTGACCTGAATGTTGACTGAAGGGGTTATAAGTGAAATTTTTGAGCTTCAAATAATAAGTGGCTCTTAACTGAGAGCTGTTGAACAGTAGTCTTAAAGTAGCCAAGAAAATACTCAATGCTAAGTACCTACTGACCCTGATCTAGAAGAGAGGCAGAGAAATGAATGTCGATCACTTGAGAAGGTTTCTAGGGACACAAGACGCTGGTAGGAATATCAGGTTTCTTCTGGTTACAGTGAAAAGGTGGAAGAAGGTTCTCAGAAAAGGCAAAGGATACAACAAGTATTATTAACAACAGAATGAGCATTACAGTGAGCATCAGGATTTGATAAGTAAAGATGAACAAAGATGGATAAAAGCTGAGATAGACAAAGGAGAACAGAAAAAGATAGACTGCTTTGAAGGTTGCCTAAGATAAATGATTATACGAAAAAAACTAAATGTACCGTGTGTATTTAATACATAAAGGTCATAATGACCTCATAAAATCTTTAAGACTATAGAATTATCTTTTTAGCTTCAGGACAGAGGCTCAGGTGTCCTGTAGAGGCAAGAACCAACCCAAAGCCAGAGAGCCTGGGGCCTGGTGTGGAGTAACTGAGAGCACCCAACAGAAACAGGGAATCCAGGGCTAGAAGCTGACAATTCTGGAGCCTCTCAAGACGGTGTTAACATAACTTTACCTGAAAGGAAAGAGAACAACCTCTAGAGTCAACCATTCTCCTTTACACATTTCTTTCAGCAAAAACATTTTATGACTTCTTCCTAAAAGCACACTTCTTCTTCTTAGGTGAGTGGCCAACTCTATTTAGCAATTCAGGGAGCTAGGGTGTACAGGTGTGAGCCGGCCCAGCAAGAGCTCAGACCGATGAGACATGAGTGTGTGCACGTGGGTGCACCAGTACCCTTTACGGCATCTGTGCTATATTCTAGGTGAACATCAAACGGCTAGAAAACAAAAATGTTTCAAAAATACGTTGCTCCTTTTATCTAATTCAAAAATAATAGCAGAGTTTGCAATACAAATTAAAAGCACAGGATCTTCCAATATGTCCAAAAATATTACCACCTCAAAAAATTACAGAGAGCAAACGGAAACCATTTCTTTTGAAGATCTAGACAGGAGCCCAGACGAACGTTCCATGTCATGGCCTGAATGTACTTCCAAGTACATTAAATTCCAAACATTTTAGAGTAAGAGAACAGAAATTGAAAATCACAATATCCGTGTTCAACCAGAAAGTATTCACACCTATATAAGTCATTTTGAATACCTGAGATGAAAGACTTAAATACTTTAAAAGCACATTCCCAGGTTTTACTTACAAACACCATCAATGTAATCCTTCACAAGGTTTGCATCTGTCAATACCCAGAGGCCACCTTCCTAGGAAGAAAAATTTTAATTTTCTTCTGAAATAAAAGTTTAAATGCTCTCTAAATTGTTACAACAGTATCCCATACTCCTAACTCACTCTTGCTTGTGTGTTTTTATCCAGAATGTGAAAGAACCTCTTCATTTTTTTTCACTCTTGCTCATTTTTGAGAGTTTAGGTACATACCTGAGCATACATTCTCTCTCTCTCTCTCTCATACACAGACACACACACACAGACACACACACACACACTCACGTGCATGAACAGCCATTTCAAAGTCAAGGAAAGTGATAAAACGGAAAGAAATTTTTTTTTTTTTTGACAGTGCCATTAATTTCTCTAATGGTGAATTTTCCCATTTGCTTTTAAAACTGGAATGATGATTATCCTTCCATTTCAAATTACACTTATATAACACACTGCACTTCAGCAACACATTTAATAAAAGGTTAACATTTCATAATTCAGATCATTAATTCTGAAAGTGTATGCAATAATAAAAGATATTAATATATTTTCAAATTATATAGCAAACTCAACATACCTGAAAGACTGCAAAAGAATTCATGAACATGCCTAAATAATATCCTGTGTTATAAAGTTCCAACTCATGGACCACCTAAGGAGAAGATAAAATACATGGAATGGATGGATTCATTTCAAACTGCTCTGCCCTCTGCAACATTTCTTATATCTAACTTAGAAAAGACACAGCCCACATGCATATCAAATTTGAGAAGGACACAAATGGAGGAATAATACATATGCGAATACCTTGTTCACGACTCAATCAGCCAAAATTATATTTCTTATTTAAACTTATTTTTACTCTGTTTGGCAATCCAGAGTTCCTAAGAAGTGTGGGCTTTTGAGTTCTGCCCAGGAGGAACTTAAATGTCACTGGTTGACAAGACCAACACATAGTCATCAGTGTTAAAAATGACCCATACTCTTGGAAGAGTGGGTTAATTATATAAATGGGTTATATTGGATGGTTAATAAAGTTGTGCAAAAATGTCAGTTAACGAACTTTTTTTAAATAATACAGAGAGACAATTCACAAAAGAGGAAATGCAAATTATTAATAACCAGAAAAATTCAACATCACTGATAAAGCAATGCAAATTACAACATCAATGAGATGGGTTTTTCAATAATGAGATATTTGCATATATCACATTAACAATGCTATTTTTCAAAGAACAGTACTCATTGCTAGCAAGAGTGAGTAAAATAGGCTAAAAAAGTGAGTAAAATTGGCAGTTCCTAAGAAAGTTAAACACAGAATTAGAATATGACCCAGCAATTCCACTCCTATGTATATACCCAAAAGAACTGAAAACAGGGACTCAAAGAGATACTTGTATGCCAATGGTTCATTGTAGCATTAGTCACCACAGCCAAAAGGCAGAACCAATCTAAACGTCCAACAACATAAGAACAGATAAACAAAATGTGGTATATATACATAGTGGAATATTATGCAGCAATAAAAAAATAAAGTTCTGACATATGCTACAATATGGATGAACCTTGAAAACATTTACGCTAAGAGAAATAAGGCAGACACAAAAGGACAAATATTATATGATTCCACTTATATGAAATATCTAGAATAGGCAAATTCATCAAGACAGAAGTAGATGAGAGGTTACCAAGGGCTGGGGGAAGGGAGAATGAGGGGTTATGTTAATAGGTACAGAGTCTGTTCGGAGTGATAAAAAGCTTTGGAGACAGATAGTGATGGTGGTTGTACAACATTATGAATGTAATTAATGCCACTGATTGTACTTTTAAAAATGGTGAAATGGCAAATTTTATGTTGCATACATTTCACAATGATTAAAAGGTTAGGACACTATACCCCTTTTGGTAACTATTTTGATACATCTCCCTTATTTATATTAGCATTAACCAGACAAATTAAGACAAAGGCAGAATAAAAATCATGAAAGATTCTAAGTATGAGTTTAAAACACACCAAGTTTAAAATCAAACACCAACAAACACTGCTTCTGCTACACTAACAACAACCACTGCTACCTTCACGGTAAGCACACGGGCTCCCAGAAGAAAACAAAGAACAAGAAATATCTCAACAAGCTGGCAAATACGCTTAGCCCAGCTACAGACAGTAGAGACAGGGCCAGACAAAATGGGGAGAGAGTTTCATTTCATGACGCAAACTCCACCACACAGCAAACAGGCGGACGGCCTCCTGCTGACGCTCAGTCGACGACGATGGAACTATCTAGGAAGAAGCGTCTAGCTCATAGAAAAAATCCTCCTGTTCTACTGCCTCAATAAAAAGGCACCACCAAAGCTGCCGCACAGGCTAGTGAGGGGAAGGCGTGTCTGAAAGTTATTCCTGGAAGATCTAGAACACCTACATTATTCAAGGCATTCAAGAGTCTCTCAGCAGCACACAAAAATTTAACAAGCACAAAAGAAGCCAAAATGGTCTCGTATCACAGGTTTCTGACTCCCTCCTCCAGAGCCAACCGTGGAGAAAAGGGGAAGCCAGCAGGAAACTTGGAGGAGCAGGAGGAAAAACCCCAGGAAGAGCGAAGGGTGTCTTGAATCGGTATGTTGAGAGGATGCAGGAGGCAGCAATCGGATGACAGGTGACAGGCTGGAGGAAAGGTTTTTAAATTCTGCTCTTGCTTCTCTCCAGGGGATAGCCGCAGGACCATCACTCCTTGCCATTTCACCTCCCACACGCAGTGCGAGCAGCCCAGACGGCCTGTGCCTGTGCAGGGATGGCGAGCACGCCACAGGTCAGCAGTCTGCCCTCCGGGGCGAGAAAGCGGAAAGCCCACAGACCAACCCGTGGCCCTCAAGCACTCACTCTTCTCCCCACCTCCTCCAAACCCTCACAGCTGGTGGATCACAACCTCACAACTTCTGCGGGACACTCCTCTCCCTGGGGCTGCTTTTCCCTAAGCTCTTAAATGGGAAACACCGTCTAGAAGCAGGCAGCACCAGGGAAGATGAAGAGTAGTTCTCCAGTCCCTGAAGCTCAACCCTCCCTCTCTTTAAACTCACAAGACTTACATAGATTGCAACAGGGACTTCAGCCTTTCCCAAAAGACGTTATCAAGAGTAGCTGCCAAAACAGCTAGACATCCAAAGAGCAAAACTTCCATAAAAGACATCCACCTAGACAACACATAGCATGTGAAGCAGAATATTGAAAAAGTCAGCTCAAGAATTTAAAATAAACATAGTAAACATACATAAGGAGATATGGGAAAATATTAGCAACGTGAAACAAGAACAGAAGATAAGAACCAAATGAAAATAATAGATATTAAAAACACAATAGCTGACATAAAGAACTCAAAGTAGGGATAAAAGACAGATAGAGCTGACAACCAATCAGTGAGCAGAAAGACTCAACTGAGGAACTCCCCCAGAGAAACAGAGAAAAGACAAAGAGATGGAAAACATAAAACAAAAAGCTAAGAGATATGGAGAAGGGAAGTAGAAGTGCCAATCTCTGAATAACAGGAGTCCCAGAAGGAGAGAAAAATTAAAATGGAGAAGACGAAATATATGAAGAAATAATGGATGTAAATTTCCAGAATTGAAAAATGGAGAGCATAGATTAAAAGGGCAATCCATAATGACAAGAACTAAAATTCTGTACAATAGCAACAAGATCTGGCCAGGGTTGGGGAACAAGGTTGGGACGGAGGAGAGACAAAAAGGATATGCAAGAATCTGAGAGCAGACTAAAATGCTTGTCTTGTTTGATGAAGATACAGTATTGATAACTGATAACCTTCAGAAATCAATAAGGGTAAATATATATGAGTATGGTTCATGAGTTTAAAGCCATCTGTCACAGAATGCTGATGTAAAAGAAAGTTTATAACTACTTTCTTAGTTTTACTTAGAAGTCAAAGTCTATAAGGGTTAAAAAAAAAATCTAATTAATATATGTCATTAAAGTTACTAAAAATAAGGAAAACAGCTCTGTATACAAGGAAAGTAAGATGTATATAGTAAAAAGGTATAAAGAAGGGAAATATTTTGTTTGGTTGGTTAAGAAAGATAAATTTGTCACAAAGGCAAGAAAGGAAGGCATGAGACAAATTCTGAATGTAAAAAGAAAGTTATAGAAGGTTTGTGGAAGAGGAATTCTAGAAAAAGAGTTTTATGCATGGTCAAATTGGCTGGGATTAAAGTAAATCCAACTGAGTAAATGAGTTTTAATATCAAAAGTAAGCTGGTACAAAATTAAAATTTAGTCTTCTTTCTCTTAAAAGGATAATTTTCTTGAACTTGATAAAGAGGTTATAAAAGATTTTTAAGCCTACCTAAAAGACAGAAAAAACTGTTAAAATAATTTCCTATGTTCCAAAGACTGAGGTCTCTCTATTAAGGCTTTTTGGACTGTTAACGGTCTGTTTGCTCTTGACTGTTTATATTTTTGACGAGCTCCCCAAAATTCATATCTTAAATAAAGTCTTTTTTTGATTTTTTTTGAGAATTTTCAGAGGGCCCTGGAACTTCTCAAAGAAATTTGCTCTCTTCCTATAAGGAGGAAGATACTAAACTTATTAGGCTTATTTGGTATGTTAAATTACATGGGAAGCATTGTCAAATAAGTGATAATAAACCTTCTTAGGTGATATTGTGTGGGTGAATGTTATTGATATAGGTGCTTTGAAATTGTACAACACTACTGAAAATCTGATCTGTCCTGGTTATCAGTCTGGTTCTGGTTATTATTTTAAAGTATTGTATGTCACAAAATTAACCAAATTTCTTTGTCAATTGCCATTTTGGGGTCTTGTTGTTTACAGACAGTTATTGTTTATGCTTTTGCAAAATATGTTTCATCTTCAGAGAAATTCATGGAAAGGACTTTGACATTTATTCTAGAGTATAGGTTTCTGATAAACTTTCAGATTATAAAACTAAACTGGGTAAGAAATAACAGAACTCTAACAAAGAAACTGCGGACTTCATGAAACTGCTAACAGAAGATTAAGATCAAGAATCAATTACACTGGACTGAATGAACTGATGGGGATGATTATAATTTTTTATGACTCTTGTTTGAAATATTGCTGATTTTTTTAATGTTTTGGTTTTCCAGGGTTAAGGAAAACTTTTTCTCTTTTCTCCTGAGATAGCTATGACTTATGGCAATTTGGTAAATTATACCTTTGTAAGCAGAATTGAAATATTTATCTTTTTCTCCCTGATTCCTCCAGGATTTGGAAACTCTTAGTAAGTGAGTATTGTTTTCAAGGCAATATAGTTATTTGCGTAAGTTCAATAAGAATCTGTTCTCCTCATAACAGGACACAATTGGAAACACTTGTTATATTAGCAAAGCTTTGATTGGAATGTGACAAGATAGCTTCTGAGAGACAAAGATGGACTTGATGGAATAAAGCCACATGGAAGTGTTGGCCTGGTACCTTATGTTCACTGTTCCAAGCAGCATTTACTGGATAAGTAAGGAATGTCACTTATCTTGGAGGTGTAAGGAATCTCGAAATATTTTGGGGGACCTCGAGAAGAGAGGAATTCACCCAAATCTGTAGGTATTGCAGGCAAAGGTTCATGACAAAGTCTTTGGCTTGGCTTTCCCAGCCTCGAGAGGCCTTTAAAGTTCAATCTGAGATTCCTTATACAGAGTTCCAGCAAAGCAGATTTAAAAGAGCCTATATGAACAATGGCTATCCTTGCTGTACTTATGTAAATAATTGGGCCAAGTTTATTTTATTTTGCAAACCAATTAGTTTTAATTTGGCTATCTTTGATAAAATGAGGGTGATTTTAGAGAGAAAAAGATATGTTTCGATAGAAACTATAGTACACATTCATGGATATTAGGTTCTAGTTCTGATAATTGTCTGTGAGGTTTCTGTTTTGTATCTGTTAACTGGATTGGATCCTGAATTCTTCTAGTCTCCTGAAATATCTGGCTACAAATCTCCAAACTAATGTTTTGATTTTTTTCCATCATTTTCATTTGGAATCACTGAGAAGTGAACCTGCCCTTTTTCCTGAAGCCTTGCAAACTGAAGCTGGTGGACTTGATATAAACTTAAGAGAGATTCACGTCTGCTAATGTAAGCCATTCAGAAAGGTACCTGAATACCCGATGACATCATCAGAGACATTTAAGCTGCAAAAGATGCTTTGGCACTGACATCTAGAAATCTTCTTGACTGGCTGTCCCCTGGACTCAGAAACTGGTTTATAATTTGATCCCACCATTAACTTTGTTTTTCTTTTTGTCTTATTAATTACCTGGTTGCTTGCTTCCACAATTTAAGCCTAAATTTGGGAGCCCACCTGCATCACTCTCTTACTAAAAGATTGGTTCAATAAGATGGGACAACAGGACATCCCTCAACATTGAGGGGTTAAACAGCAAAGGGGGGAAATTGATACCAGCTCAAGACAAGCTTGACCTAAAGGAAGCCATGTTGTAGAAAAGAAACCCTATTGTAACTTTGAATGACCTCTGACAAACTAACCCAGCTGGATATGCACCCTGCAGGAGATCTAACTGCTATGTTGATTTTACAACCCCTGCTTGTGCCTATACCTCCCAGCTGCGATAAGATGATAACTTTGTTCTTTTGAGTTCCTTAGGAATGTGATGACCCCCAACAGAGAATCTATGCTGATAGCCATCATCAATGAAAACCAAAAGATCTGGTGTGGCTGACTCTCAGTCTGTAACACCAGAAGGTCAACATTCCTAACCCCCTCCCCAATAACCCAATGGCCTATATAACTGCTGTAAGATTTCGTGCCCCTTTAAGATGGTTCTTTCAGACATTAGTCAGCCATCTTCCCTCTTGCTAGCAAGCTGTCGTAAGTTCTTTCTCTCCTATCACCTTGCCTCTTGACTATTGGCATGTCTTGCGGCAGGCAGAAGGCCCCACATTGGCCGGTAACAAAACAATGAATGAATAGGGGATTAGTTTATGTAACACCAGATGTTCATATATTTCTTGGTTTGTAATTTTTCTGCAGATTAACACGATTTCACTCCCTCGATATATTCAATGAGGACTGTACTTATTGACAATCATTACATATAACCAAAAGAGAAGGTACTTCATAATAATTTAAAGCTCTCTTCTCCAGTGTCATCCAGAACTGTATGAGTCAATTTCCTAGTACTTTCTCAAGAATCTTAAAATTAAAACATAGTATGAAAATGAGGAAAAACTCTAGGTGGCAGTTCTCACATAACACAGCAAGGACACTTGACCACATAAGCCTCTTTCCAACATAACAACTAGAATATAAATTCTTTTTTATTTGGAAGCTTTACTGATTATTGACTTATATTTGAAGAGGAACTAATAAAATTTCCTTTAGATATTTGAAGTAATGCAATAAAGTTTCTTTTTTCACTTTTCACATGTATTTTTGTAATGAAAAAATAACTAAACTCACATTTTCCATTGTAATATCATTTGAAGCATTCATCAGATTCACACTTTGGTCAACAGCTACAATCCCAACTATCGAGTCTGGCTGTGTCACAGAGACGCTAAGAGAGACTTTCTCAGATGGTTTAGCGTTCGCTTTACTCCAAAATAGATTTATCTAAGAAAGGGAGAAAACAGGATTGATTTATTTCACTTTTCTAAACCATTACTTACATGTCTTACCAACAGCAGATCAATGACTCAAAATCTAGCAAAGATTCTACATTTTTTCTGGCTCGGGGATCATTCTGAAATCATACATAAACCCTCTCCAGGGAAAGGAATTAAAAAAACCTTATTCCCATAGTGTTTGCAAGTCATGGAACTTCCCACAGTGGGGTATATCTGAATTGTCCTTCACTGCTCTACCTTTCCTCTTCTTCTCCAGCTCCCACCCCTGAGCCCCAGCTGCTTCTACGAGGAGACAGCAATGTCTGCACACCTGGGGAAGGCCAGCATCCAGGAGGAGGGACGGGAAAGAGGACAGAAAAGGCAGACGCCTACATGTTGGCGACCAGACTCAGAGTTGAGCACATGTGAGAGCCCACCTGGGGACCCACAGAACCACCTGGGCTGGGGGTCGGGAGTGTCTTTCCAAGGAAAAACAGAGGTGACCAGACCAAACACCAGTCAGGCCCCATGCCCTGTGCCTCCAATGGCTGCCTGAACTTCCTGTCATTACACTCATCAAAGCATGGTCTACTAGTACTTCTTAAAGAGCGTCAGTCATCTCATCATAGCTGAACCAAATGGCTTTGTCCTGAGGCCCCTTCCTCCTAGGAATGTTCATCTTGTCTAGCTGTCTCTCAACATTCCACTGCCCCAGTGACCATACTACCTGACCAAGATGGTCTTAATGTTCGCCTCAGCTTGGCTAAATTTTAGACAGGCTTCTTACTGATTATAAACTCCTCATCTCCCTTTTCTTAGAGCATTTACTTTAGAAATTTGCAATTGTAAATTCTTTTTCTGCCCCTTTGAGATGTAAATCTTCTCCCAGCCTCTTGCCAGTTTTACAACCTAAGAATGTCTTTCTCGAGGACCTGGGAGCCATCCTTTTGAAGTATAATCCTCAAGAAAGATAGAGCCCTGACTGATCTCCCCATGTCTGTGGGAGGGTAGGAGCATCACTTACAAACACCAGTTAGCAAACACAGATGGCCTAATCCCATTGACTGACCTCCCCACTGTGTCCTCTGGTACTTTTCCACCAGCTCACCCCAGTCCTTAAAACCCTCCTGCCTTCTGTTTTAGTGGAGCTGAGTTCCGACACGACTCTCGCCCCTATTGCTACAGTCTTGAATAAAATCTTCCTTGCCTGTTTAACTTGTCCAGTGCAATTTTTCTTTGACGTACCTCTTAAGCCAATGTATCTAGTTTACTTTTCTCCACCTATACCCTAAACAAAGGGAAGGGGAGAGCGGCATGTGTTACCCTGGCCCCATAAGACGTTAACCACAGCCCTGCTCAGAACAAGCCTAATATGTTCTCTGTAGCTGACAGGAAACCACAAGAGGAGGAAGGGGGAGATGCTGAGACATACAGCTGAAACCAATTAAAACTGTAGAAGGCAATGTGGCAGTCTGACTTGACCTGACCTAGACCCCGCAGCTCATTATAGGGTCACTGTAATGCATTACCATGCTACACAACACACTCACCAGCTCCATAACAGTTTACAACTGCCACAGCAACAGCAGGATATAACCAAAAAAAGAAAGAAAAGAGCTGGCACCCTTGTTTGCCTGAAAAGCCTGCCCAGTTCCCCTAATACCTATGAATATTCCTCCCCTCATTACCTAGACCCCTTATAATAGCTGCTTAATCACCCCAGGACCTGAGAACTTGATTTGTGAACTTTGTTCCCACTTCTCCATTCTTTGGCCATTGAATAAAGCTTGTAATATTGAACGCTCAGCTTTAGTCTCATTTCAAAGTTGTGACACCCAACAGAGGAAGAACCCCAAGAGGAAGGGCAAGAGACCCTTCCTCAGGTCTCCCCCCAGTGAGGGAGAGAGTTCAACTGGTTCAAACCTTGCACTTCTCACTCTTTACTCTGCACCTCAGAGACCCCATGGCTTCAACCTGCACTTCTGTGTGGATTATTTCTAAACACACATCCCTTATCCCTTCTGCATCTCATTCATTTATTCCACAATCATTATTGAACATCAAAAAGATTCACTAATTTTCTCTTGCGTAAAGATATTCTATTTCCAAATATGTAGTTTCTTTGTGAGTAAATATGATAAACATTATTATATAAAAACTAGAGAAAGATATCTTTCCAAACATAACTGAAACTAATTTGTCTCTCATATATACATTTCCTGGAAGTATGTTATTTATACACTCTGCTTCTTCAGAGCTGATGACCTTCACACTGCAACTTTTTTTAAAACCTGGTCTCACTTTCAGAGATTTGTGCCTCCATATTTAAGCTTGACCCCTACCTTAAAATTCACCTGTGTCAGGGGATTGATGGATTCACTAGAAGTCAAAATTGTGCTCTGAAACTAACAGAATATAGCATTGTCTATTTAAAATTACCTTTCATTAGACGAAAAATAGTTTATATATTTTGACAAAGTTAGACTTAACAGTTCTCAGCAAAAGAAGGCATGAAAATAACTACTGCAACTTCTCAAAATTTTAACGAATTAAGGGGAAAGAAATGCTATTAAAGGAACTGTACTCTGAAGATCACTACTTTTTTTTTCTTTTTTTTTTTAATTTATTGTTTATTGCAGTAACATTGGTTTATAACATTGTATAAATTTCAGGTGTATGTCATTATACTTCTATTTCTGCATAGATTACATCATG